GAAAATAAGATATAATTTTATTAATATATTTCTCAAAAATAAAATTTAAATCACAGTTTTTATAATGAAAGATATTCTTTTTAATAAAAGTTTTGCAAACTCAGTTTTTTAAGCTATTTATAATTGATAATTTTAAAATTTTCAGACTAATATATCAAACAGAGTAATTAATTATGCAGATTTCAGCAGGTTCGTAAATAAATTTTCGTAAAGTTTATAAAAAATTTTTACTTAAAGGAAAATTTATTGAAGTAACAAAAGCAATAACTACAATCTATTTATTTAATTTCTTACTATATGTATTCTTGGTAATTTGATCATGAGCAATAAATTACTAAACCATTAAATTTATATTGTTTCTTGACAAGATTTTTGATTAAAAAGAAACTTTGTCAAACCGATTCTACTAGAATACTATATATTTTAGATGTTCTTTTCACAAAAAAAAAACCCAAATCAGGAGGTAGGCAACGGTTTCAGTAATGCTTTTAATAAATCACTAAAAAATTTGGATTTGTATCAAAAAAGCATTCCTTTAAAATAATTATAAAAAATAAGTTAATAAGGAAGCATAAAGTTTTTTTAATAATATTATCCAAGTCACGTATTCTAATATCAAATATTTCAGCCGATGAACAAGGACTACTTAAAATGTAACTTTTATCTTATTTATATTTTATAAAGTCTGATAAAAATCTTGATTTTTTTTATTTAATAAAAGGCAAAACTTAATTTTTTCGTACATTTTTTAATTTATTTTCTTCTTTTTCTTTTACTATTATTGGCACTTCAAATAATTTTTACGATTATATTGTAACTTTATAGATTCTTTGATTTTTATTTCTATTTCTTTTAAGATTTAACTTGCTTTCAAAATGTTTTAATATCTAGATTTGATGAAAATAAATTTTTTTTTTTATTAAACAGACTGTTTTGCACAACAAATGTGCATATTTTATTTTTCTGTACTAAATTTTTTTTTTCTTACATATTTTTGTTTTATTAAATAATTTTAATTTTAAAAAAAATTTAAAAAATTGTCTTCATTTTACGTTTCAAGAGTTCTCTACAAGAAAATATTTAAATAAAGTTCTTATTTTTCATCATACAATATAGTAAAAACAAAAATTTATTGGGGGCCTTAAATTTGAAAAACAATTTTAGTTTTTTTTTTGCTTTTGCTTTTAAAAATTAATTTTGAATTTAATTTTTTGAATTTAATAGAATTATTCAAATAAGAGTGTATAATATGTTATACAAATGCATGACTTGTGGACCATGTGTACATATTATGTTGATAAAAATAAAATTTAAAGAATATAATATATTGAAAAATAATAGAGTACTGCTCCGGTTATACTAACCAAAGTAGTGATTTAACATTAAAAATCAAAAGAAAATTATTAAAAAATTTATGTATTTTTTAAACAAATTTTTATATTTAAATTGAAATTATATTAAGATATTTTTTCTCAATTTTTAAACACAATATTTTGCGTTTAAACCAAAACCAACTAAACCAAATTTTAATTACAATTTATGTGAATAGATAATAAAAATTTATCTTCAAGATCAAAATTTAACCTTATCACATAAGGCTTTTAAAGTATTTTTTTTTTTATTATAATAATTTATAATTTTATTTTATCGAAAATTCTTAAAAAAAGAAAAAATTAAAGTTTTTTAATTAAATAAACAGTTTTCTAATTTCTACTGATATAAGCAAGATCCAATGAATAATAATAATTAATAAAAAACTTTAATTTTATTTAGAGAATATAATAAGTATAGTTTAAAATTCATATTAAAAATTATTTTAAATGATTAACTTAAATTTTAAAATTTTGAAATTTTTCATGTTATTATTGTATATTATGTAATATAAATGTAACTATTTTGTATATGTTATTATATTGTAATAATGGTTTCTATATAATTTTCTTAATTTACACATTTGTACCTAAAATGGTTTACAATAAAAGAAAAAAAAAAATTTTTTTTTTTAAGTTATATATAAATCGAGTTCAGACATTCTTATATTGATAAATAAATTTAGCAATAATTTAAATTTTTTTTTTTAAAAATGTATTTTTATTATATTAATTTTTCAATTTATTGATAAATTTCTCTTTTATATTAAATTCAAAATTGTATCAACAAGCATAATATTAATGCATTCAAATTAACTCATAGCAAGTAATGAGTTTTTATAATATTAGATTTTAGACTACAAATTGTGATTTTAATTCTATAAGTTTTTTTTTTAAATACTATGTGTACAATAAAACTAATTATCAGTAATATTATTAAATGTGTACAAGCATTTATATGTTTACAATGTAAACAATTCAATTATTAAAGATGTATTTTTTTAAATTCAAAAAACAAAAAATTAAAATAATTTTTCTGTAAAAAGAAACTATAAAGAACCCGAGAAGATTTTAATAAAATCAACAATTTTTTTTTTTTGCTACGAAAACGTTTAATTTTAATTAAATTAACATTCTTCACCTCGAAGTTTTTCATGTAAAAATTAAAATAATTAAATAGAAATTGTAATTCAAAACTTTAATATGTAAAAAAAGTATATAAATTTTAATTATTATAAATTAATGAATTATTTCCTAATCAAATCACCTTTAAACTGCATCTCTATTAAAAATCATATAAATATTTTCATTACTATCGTCTTTATTCATAATCTGTCTATACTTGAACAATAACCAAAATGCAATCTTAAGGCACCGATTACGTTGAAACTACTACTCTATATTATGTTTTTTTCTTTTTATTTTAAAAATTATACCATTTTCCTTTTTTTCTATAATTTTAAATTTTAAGTATGTAGGAGAATAAATAATTTATCTATTATAGCTACTCATAGATTTTTTAATTAAACTTTTATGCAAACCTAACCTAAGTTCTTTAATTTCATTTTTAACTAATGTTTTGTAAAGTTTATAAAAATTTGCTCAAAAAATGGTTTGCTAAAGAAAACACCAGCCTTCCTACAATTAAATAATCTTGTGCTAGTATTTAAACTGAGATAAATATAAGATTAGTGGTTGAAAATGTAAAAAATAAAATAGTCATGTAATAAGAACCATAATGTATCCAAATAAATATAATTATTTCAATTAAAAGTACAAAAAAAAAAATGTGTACGATATTGATAAAATTTACGGTGTTTAATCAATTTTCCAAATGATTTAGTTAATTTAATGATTTGACTTTAATAATTTTCAATAATAAAAAATTTTGTGATAAAATATTTTATTTTATTTGATATATTTTATTAAATTGAAAATTAATTAATATATTTTAATACATTTTATTTAATTAAATAATAAAGTCTTTAAATTTTGAATAATCTGTACTTACAATGCTTGATTCTGGTAAAATTTTGAAATAAAATTAAAAATAAAACAGTTTTCAAATAAAAAAAAATAAAAGAACAATAAATAATCTTGAATTTCATTTGTTAATCATTCTTATTTCATAAGTTTTTGAATAATAACTCAATAATATTTCAGTCACGTAAAATCGTTTTATTATCTAATTTTAAAATTTTAAAATTTTTACTAAATTTTTGTTATCTAACGACATTATTTATCTAAATTTTCTTATATACGCTTAAAATATTTAATAAGTACAAAATATAAAAATTATTGTAACTATATAAGACAAATGAAAATTTATTATTAAAGATTTTATTTTTGTAAAATTGATTTAACACATCGTAATAAAAAAAAAAATATTCATGCATTAATTTTACATGAATAAAATTATGTTTGATAATTCTAGAATTTTAATATCCAACTAAATAATAACGTTTAAGCTAACGCGTAAGTAATTATTTTAAATTTTTTTCGATCAATTTACGATATTTTCTAATTTTGTTTTAGAAAAATAAAAAATAATGATTACTTCTCGGGTTCTTTATAAAAACTTTCTAATTTTTAATAAAAATTTTTACCTTTTACATATAATATAAAAATACGAACATTATTTTTTAAGATATTATTTTTACCAGTTATTTTATTAAATACATTATTATTTTATCAAATTCTTTGAATTTATTTTAATAGGGTTTAATTGTGTTTACACAACAATTTTGAATCAAATTTTTTTTTTTTTTTTTGCAAATATGGTGTTTTATCTAATTCGAATTATTTAACTATATTCATTAATTTATTCATGCTACTCATTGCTCTATTTTTATTAAGGTTTAACGATTTTTAAAATTCTTAAGATCAAAATATTATTTTACTTCTAAATTTATATTATATTATTATTAATAATTTTAGAAATACCTTTTTGTTTTGGTTTTTCCTTAATTCAGTTTTAAAGACAAGTGGATTTTAATTCACTTATAATAATAATTATTCATTATATAATATACTATACAAATTGTATAGTAATGGTGCTAATGATATTAAAATTATATTTTACTTATTAATTTTAGGTAGTTTTTATATTGTAATATATTTTTTTGTAAATAACTTAAAAGACGATTGTGTTTCATTTTACTAATTTTACATTATTAAATTTATTTTATAATGAAAGTATTATTATAATTTGTTTTTTTGTTTTTATTATTATTTTGCTTTTCAATAAGAAAACTTTAAGGTATATAATACGTACATTTATATAATATTATTTAATATATAATTTTTTTTTTCTTAATCATTAAAAAGTATTTACAAATTTAAACAACGTAATTTAATATCACTTTTTTAATGCTCCGTAGTAAATTATAAATTTACTTAACATTGTATAGCAAAAGAATTATTCAAATACGAGTGTATAATATATGTTATTATAGAAAGAATACATATATATGTAGATATATATCAAATAAAATAACATACATATTATGTTATTTTATTTATATTTTATTAATAATAAAATCATTATAAAAGTTATATACATATACTATACTTACATGTATATTATGTAATAAATATACATATATATTTTGTTTCAATTAATATTAGAAATATGCAAAAACGTAATATATTTATTGTGTAAATTTTTAAAGAATTCATTTTGAACATTTTTTTTATTTATTTGCATTTTAAAAATATTTTTCTATTGCGAAAAAACATATTTATTTATTTTTTATGTTTTATTGTTTTATCAACATGTTATGCGAATATATACATATTGCATATATAAGTAAACATAGATTTTTACGCAAATATATATTTAATTTTTTTTCTAAAATTAATTCCAATTAATTACACACTATGTTTTTCGGATGCATTTAAACCAACGGACTTCTTTTCATAACAGTTCTCCAAAATCTTAGTCCCGTTACATTTTTCTTTAGAATTCTAAAATTTAAATTAAAAATGAAAATTTAAATGCACATAATACAAATGTAATAAATTTGATTTAGTTTTTATCCAATGATAATATTTTATTTTATTTTATTAAAAATAAAACTTACGTTACAACCAATTTTCGGGAATCTAGGTGATTCGGTATTTGTTAAAACTTGTCTTTTTGAATTACGATATTTACGGTATTTTTCCATGAATGGTACAACTAAAAGTATTGCTCCAGAAATTACAATAAAAAATCCAGCAAAATAAAATGATAAGTCATAACTTCCAGTAACATCGCAAAACCAACCTAAAATTTTTATATATTAAATTAACATTTGCATTTAAGTTAAATAATTTAATAAGAGAAAGAACGCAAAAATATGCGAGCTATATATTTTTCAAAAACGGACTAAATAAAGTTAATATATTTGAAAATTTAGGAAAAACAAAATTTTAGGGTTAATTAAACTCTTGAAAGTCAAATCGAATAATTTGAGCATATTCCTAAAATAATATATAGAACAATTCAATATGAATTGCCAACATTCAAATTGTATTATCTTATATACGAAAAATCTTACCCAACGATATTCTTACACATTATAAATAGCATTACCATATTATGCACTGTATTATAATTATAAAGTATACTTTGTAATTTAACTCACCAGCTAGCGGCGGACCAACTAAATTTGCAATTCCTTGTACTAATAATAATAAACCATATGCATTTGTAAATTTATCAATTGTAATTATTTCTACTAATATAATACTGGTTAAAGCATAATTTGCTGCAATAAATAAACCAAATGCTCCAGATATAACACACAACCACTTGAAAAAGTAAAAAAAAATATAACGAAATATAATGAATATTCAATTTGAAAGTGATTTGTATAACACTTACGGTATATGTGGTCAAAAGTGGTACTAATGCAGTAATTGCTCCACAAAATCCCATACAAACAGCATATACAACGCTAGCATTAATACCTTTCAAATCACCAACCCAACCAAGAAATATCTAAAAATAGGTTTCTAATCAATAAAACTATTAATAAAGTTAAAAACACTAACATACCTCACCAAACATATTAACAATACCAATTAAAGATATTAACATTGAAGCATCTGTTTCTGGTATTCCCATATCAATAGCATTATCAGCAATATAAACATACGGTACATCATACCATGTGTAAAGTAAAAAGTTTGACATCGCAAAAAATAAAAATTTAATATCGGCAAAGTATGAAAAATCTAATATATCGCGTAACAAATTTTTAAATTCGTCAATTCCTTGGTACCATTGATTTTTTTCTTCGGCTATTGTTGTCATTGAATTGCGGTATATATCTGGACATGACGATGCCCGTAACCTATATCGATTTATATTTAGCATAGCACCGCGATAAGTTAATGAATGCCTATGTAAACGTAAGTCTTTCAAATATGCTGCTGAAGGTGGTTGATGTTGATGATTAGGATTGTGATGATGATGATGGTGGTGGTGATGATGATGGTGATGATGATTTTGGTTATTATGATGATGATTGTGATGATGATGATGATGAATTCCATTATCGGGATTACGCTGTAATTATAAGAAGGTTGTAATTTAATTTAATTACTATTCAAACATTTAAAATACTAATATAAAATAATAGTATCATATTTAGCTTAGTATAAAAAACTAATTAAATTAATTTGCAAGATGTTTCTTTGCATTGTTACTTTTCTTACACCGTTTATAATTGCTTTCATTACTATTATTACACACCTCTTTCTTATTACACCTTGTAAAGTTCTAAAAATTTCGGCGAACAATTCTACAAACATGATAAGTAAACACAACACAGTAGATAAGTAAATTTTGAATAGAAGTAAATGTTTTAAATATTTCACGGGAAATAATATTTCAGCATTTTTTGAAATTTTTAAAACCAAATAAAATCTACATTAACGATAGAAATCGAAGTTTTATATATACTATAGTATACTTAAAATATATATGGAATTTGTAAAGTTTGACTCAAAATACTTACACGTTGCTCATGAACTGAATTGCATTTAAAAGTATTTTCATTTAGACAGTTCGAATTCGTGCAAAAATCATCACTTTTCATAATTTCGTCTTCACAGTCGACATTCAAATTTTTATTTTTCTGCAAAACTATTTTGTTATCCGCATACGGTTCACTAAAACTACGTGACTGATTTAAATTTGGATATTTTTGCAATATTTGATGAATATTTTTATGTGAATTAAGAAGTTCCAAAACTTCTGGAGGTACCTAAAAGGATTAATATTATTATTATTTTCCAAGTAGAATAAATAGATACCACAGATAAAGAAAACTGCATTACTTACTTTTTCCCCGTTACGTATGAATGTTGGAAGGGTAACCAACGAGCTGAATAATCTTGGATCATCACAATTTTCATTAAAATTAATATTTTCATAACCACAACCTCCCCCATTGCTATTATTACCAGAATTAATACCTACGCCACTATAACAACCACCACAACCATAATTAGAATTTGAATACACGTGCTGTTGATTTAAACTAGATGTTCCAGCAGTATTTGTGCTATTACTAAATGAAAATGAATCGGCCGAAAGCCTTACTTTTTTCTTTACTTTCGATTTACGTTGCTTCGCTTTTAATTTCGCTTTGTGTTTTGTCCATTCTAAATCCTTCATTAACAAACCACAAACAGTCATATTAAGAAAGCACCCAGCTAATATTAAAGTTGCTCCACGCCAGCCATATTCTTCTATTAAAACTTGTATAAAAGGAGCGAAAATAAACGTACCTATACCACTGCCACATACTGACAAACCAGTAGCAAATGAACGTTTTTTCTCAAAATAATATGCAACTATAACAACCGCTGATACGTAACATAAACTTAAACCGAATCCAGCTATAACACCAAATGTTAAAAATAAAAGTTCAACTGAATCGCTGACAGCTGATATTACAAAACCTATGCATGATAGTATAGAACCAGCTATTGTGCATGCTCTGCAACCATAGCGATCTGTTAGGAATGATGCAATTGGTCCAGACAATAACGGTATTGCCATAAACAAGCTACCAATCCATGCTGTTTTACCTCTACTCTCCCCAAAGTAATTTAAAAATTCGACATAAATTACACCAAAACTAAATGTTATACCATCAGCAATTAAATTAACCATAAATGATGCAAATACAACAACCCAACCCCAGCCACCATCTGGTGCTCTTGGCTCTGAGTATTGACCTAAAGAACTACCTTCATCATCTTCTGATGTCGATGAGGAAGATGATGACGATGAAGATGACGATGATGATTGTGAAGATGTTTCTCCTGAATTTGTAGAACAATTATCATTACAATTTTCTTGAAGATTATGTTGTTGGTGATGATGGTGATGACTAGCAGTGTTATTATTGCTGTTACAATTAGTACAGTTATTACAACTATTACTAAAATTTTTACAATTATTAAAACGTTGATTACACTTGGTGTTATTTTCACAGTTGCAAATGCAATTACAACATAGCGTTGTTGAAAATTGGTCACCAACAAATTGGACATGTAAGACTGGTCTATCTGGTGTGGTTATTATACTATTTGTTATTACGGGCGATTTTTCTATATTTTTTTCCGATAATAAATCATTATTTTCAATCGAATATCGATTGTTAATGATATCTGGATAATAAAGACTTAAACGACTTTGTTTTTTTTCTATTGTTATGCAATCATCTGACTCCAATTGTCTCTGATCTTGTTTCGCTAATTTATCACATTGCAATTTTTCATTAACGAAACTATGTGTAGATGGTATTTTAACAATACTTTTTAAAGTTGTATTTGAACTTGATATAACTACTTTAGTTTTATCGAAATTTGATTGTTGTTGATGCTGTTGTAGTTGAGGTAAATTTGATAAATTTGTTGATGATAAGTCATTAATTTCATTATCATCATCATCATCACTTTGTTTTTGAACACTTTGTCTTCGACTATGATCCGAAAATGTTTGATTAATATAATCATTATATTGTCCTTTTATTATTTCACTGGATTTCCTATGATTACATTTTAATAATAATTTTGATGATTCGTCAACGTTTTCATCAAAACTTATTTTATTATCATCTAATGTTATTGTTTTATGTTGCACCATTGGTGTATTTAATTCACTAACACCAATTTTATTTACATCGTCACTAAAATCAACATCATCATTTACAGTTATATTGGTAGACGTGTTCAAATATATCTGTTTTTGAATTCGATTATTTGAATTTGATTTTGTCAATGGTGATATTGTAAACAAATCATTTTTCGAACCGATTAATCGATTTTGTTCGATTTCTGATGATAAATTTGACCTATAATTATTTATATTGCTTTCGAATCTATTATTTGGTAATATTTTAGTTCCCGTAAAATTATCGTCATCATCATCATTATTGTTGTTAATTGATATCGCCGTTGTTGGCGCTGTTGTATTTGCTGTTGTTGTTGCTGTTGATAAAGATGTTGTTTGAAAATTATTAAATGCAAGATTGTCGTTACACTTAACAGTGTTTTCAACCGATTTATACTTATTGGACCGATTGTTATCCATTCCGATAAATCGCGACTGAATTGACGCCTAAGTTTATTTACATATGCGGCTGTCATTAATATCTGAAAAAAAAAGTGGTTCTATTAAAATATATAATAGCTATATATGTATGTATATATGTGTGTATATTGTGATTTATTACAAAGAAGAAATTTAAAGAGTTTTAGGTGTTGTTCAAGTAAATGTAGTGTCACTACAAAAGACAATTCGAAACGTCTTTAAGTAATTCGTAAAAATGTCAACATGTTTATTACGTAAACCAAAAATTTTAATCTCTTTTTTAAATATTTTCCACATTTGAATATACATATCTATCTATGTATGTATATTATTATATTTGGCTTCTTCAGATTATATTTGGTTTTTAAATTTGGACATTTTAAAAAAATAAATAAAAGGAAGAACAAATTAATATTAATATTCTAAAATTTACCTCAAAATTAAGATCGTAGTAAAGATTCGACTCTACAATTGATGTTGGCGAAATAATATCACCAAAAGTATTTATAAGCACTGTTCCTGCCATACGTGACAAAGTAAATTAAAGCTGTGAATATACTGAAAAATAAAAATAAATAATTAATCAATAAAACTTTGATTTTTTTAAGTCAAATTAGGTTTGCTTTAAAGAAATTTTTAAAAAGAAAGCTGTAGTCAATTTGAAGTTATTTTCCGAATCTTCAACAATTTGAACTACAAATTAATACTAAAGTTGAGAAACTGCAAAGAAAACTTCACCATAGCAAAGTAAATCAAAACATAATCACAAATCTTAAAATGGGAACGAATCAAAAAAAAATTTTTATTACAAGACCCAATGGCTTGTATATTAGAACATTTAAATTTGATAGGATGATTGCAAAACCCACACTTTTACTTATTATCAAATATTGCATATATTTAGGAGAAACATTTGTAACAAGGAATAAATATAAAAATTTTAAAAATACATGTATGTACATATATTTATATGTACCACTTTTTAGACCAATAATAAATGTTCCACAGTTCACAATATTATCCTAATTTTCGATGAGAAGATATTATCTACTACCATCTCACTTTACTGAAAATTATAGGAAAAAATTGTGCTCTAATGAGATATCAAGCATAGAAATCGAGGATTTGAATAGATTCTACAAAAGCCCGGTTAGATCGGCGCGTCATGCAATTAATTATTGGTGTAATAACAAAACGGCTTAATTTATATTCATTTGGAGAATTCAGCTGCCAAAAGTTTGACTTTTTAGAACTCTGGTGAGCTGTACTTGTGAAATTTTACTCTTTTATCTCGAATTTTGGTAAATAGACGAATAAATGAGCCTAATGGGCAGACTTTTTCTAAAATAATCATCGATATGAATTCCACCAACTCATTTTTACATTTAATTCCTTAATTTAATTTTTAAATAAAGAACCTTATCAGAGAGACATTAATATGTTAACTCATTCAGAATTTCAAAATCAGAACAATTAAATTTTTAAACAGAAAAAATAAAAAATGTCCTTGACTATCTCTTCATATTCTTTTTGTTTTCCAACTTTATTCCAATTTTAGTCAAATCAAATAAAAACATAACAGCCTCATGTACAAGGAATCAATGCAATTTCATTTCCGTTTTCTTTACATTTTGACAGCTATTTATATGAACATCTACGTAAATACATAATACTTGCTATCTACGTAGATACATTATGAATGTAGTCATATATATGAAGAATATGTGCAATACTATGCATATACATACATACAATTCATATGTTTGTAAACCAAAAAAAATCACGAAGAAAATGTTATGGGTATTCATATTATATTCTTCCTGTTGTTTTTAATATCCTTGCATAACATATGTATACTCGTTTTGCATTTAACATACCCGTATGTATGTGAAAATTTATATTACATATATGTATGTATATGATTTCAACGGAACTTTTTGTAAAAATTATAATTTATTGAAAATTTACAAAAGATTTGTATATTTTAAATTTTAGACTAAAAATTTTCATTTCACGAATTTGACAAATAAATTTCAAAATTCTTCAAAATGTCATATATCATTTATTGGAGGTCATAAATGATATGTATATCATTTAATATCGCGCTTATTTGGTAGAAATATCAATCTCTTTAGGCCTAAATATGATGACATATCAATTACATACATCGACTCATTTTATTAAATGTCAACAAAAAAAAACATTGTTTACTTTTGAAATATCTGTCAAATACGGTATCAAAATATTTTTCGACATCTTTTATTTCAGTTTTAAAAGTGAGTCAACGAAAATCTTTGTAGTGTAACTAGAATTAGAATTGAATATATTAATTTTTTGAATTCAATTTAATTAAATTCTTACTATTCAAATTTAAAAAGACACAAAGTTTCAGATAATAGTCTTCTTTTTTGACAATTTTAATAATTTTAAGAATTTTATTGTAGTATAAATAAAGACATTCTCCTACTAAATGTAGGTTATATAAATACAACAAGCAACTCTCAATAAAAAATCGGAAATATTCCTGGAATTTTCGAAAAAAACTAAGGCGTCAAATATTGACAAAATTTGTTTGTATTTATAAAGAAACACAAAAAAGAGTTTCCCATTGAGATTTGAAAATTTTATTTTGTAAACAGCACCGGTTGGAACAAGGACTGAAACAATGAAATTTAAGGGATTATATAAGTATTTTTTTTAATTCTTTTGGAAATCTGCTAAAAATTCAAATAAAAAAAATAAATAAATAGTATACATATAAATGTATTTTATGCACGTATCTATGCAGGAATAAAGATAAATATTAAATTTCAAGGGCAAAACAAAAAATTTTCAATTTCATTATCTATCTATTCAATATCTAAGCATATACAATAATATATTTACATTGACATACAAACTATATACTAAAATATTATTAAATAAATATACAATATGCCACACTCTTCTAGAATATAAAATGTTCTACTTTTAAGGAGGAAAATGTTAAGGGAAAAAGAAAATGTATAAAACTTTATCATATCTTACAATTCATGCATACCATTTTATATTTTTCTGAGACTAAATTTTAATGTCATAATCAAAGAGAACCCATCCAAGAAAAAAAATTCTAACAATAAAATATTAAAAGATAATAAAAAGAAAAGAGGATACAAAAAACACCGACAAGGATTTTAATTGGCAAACCATTTACCTCTACCAATTAACTTTTTTTTTAAAGTTTTTGTTCAATTTTTAAATAACATATTTTTAGTTTTTTTTTTTATAAAAAACAGAAAAAAGTTTATAATGGAAACAGATGTGTATTATATATGTATAAATAGGATTTTTTAATAATAATCTCCCCATTTTAAGGTTGAATGGATAAAGAGTTATGGAATATATGGAAAAAAGTGTTAAAACTGAAAAACTCTAAAATATCAATCGATTGCAAAAGTAATTTATGTCAAATCATTCGTCTCTTAGGAATTTTAGAAATTTCATATTTTAGGAAAGAGTCACAAAAAAAACTGTGTATTTTATATCAAACCATTTCAGAAAAGACCATTTTGTATTTAGTGTCAAAAGTTATAAGTTTATTCATTCGAAAGAAATTGTGAAGTTCATTTAAAGTAATATTTTTTTGATTTATTGAATTTAAATTTTATATGATTTGTATATGATTTTGTTTTTGAATAATTATAGTAACTAATTTTATTAATATTCAAAAACAAAATTTATATTAATATAATTCCAGATTATGATCATTAAAGTGTCTGGTTAAAATCAGTTTGAACATATTTACTTATAAAAGTTGTCAGTTCTTAGTTTTATTCTCTCAAGTTAAAAACAATAGGGATTTTCGGCGGCGAAATGTCAGAATTCATATAGAACACACATATTATTTAAATGGTACTGGTCAGAATCAAGTGAAATTATCGCCGCAGAATTTATGTTTTATAAAACCGATGGTTTTATTTTTGACATCACCTGTTTCAATGTATGAATATGCAAAATATTGTATGCAGTAAATTTTTGCCGTTCTGCTGTTGTTCCAAGTTAACAACGAAAAGCGCCCGCCGTTTTGATTTTGGTTTTCAAATATAGTGAGTAAATGTGCATTTGGATTTTGACATTATATAAAGAAAATTCTATAACATATAAATAAAATTGATTATTAAAAACTTCCTAATTTATGTAAATATCAATGTTACATACTTAATGAAAAATAAAAACACGAACTCAATTATTAATAATACAAATACCTTACAAGAGAACCAAATGTCAAATTTTTCATAACTTATAAAATTTGTTGACCTTAAAAGAGAACGATAAAATTTAATAAAAAAATTCCCAATTTTCAAAGTATTTTTTAAGCAATAAATGAAAAAAAATTACATAAAACTTGAAAATATGAAGGATATGAAAGATGAAAACTTGAATACGTTACGGAATCCGAAAATAAGAATACATGAATGTAAAGTGACCCTAATTCCAGTTCTTTTGTTCCTTGTGCTGTTTTTCAATTTTATAAGATAATTTTTTTTTTATTATTATAAAAAAAATGCTCTATACTTTTCTAAAAATAGAAAATATTAAAAGTTTCATTAAATGAAATTTTCCGGTATATTATCCACAAAACAATAAAAAAAAACAATATGGAAAAAAGAACTTTATCTGGTAGGTATTACCTTTGGATAAGTAAACATTTTATATCCGCATAACATACACATTACATACGCTATATGCGTACTTTTATGTATATATAGTATTTATGTAGTTTTATTTAAAAAACTTGTAAAAAAGAACCTATAATAAAATGAAGGAATACATTTAAATTTTTGTATTCAAACTTATATAAATAATTTATAAAGGATACAACTATGTATATATGAATACAAAAATAGGCATAACACGTACACGTATATATGTATGTAACCAAAGATTTAAAAAAAGAAATTCCTAAAACCATTTTATTAATTATGAAACGTTTAAAAAACAATTTATTTGATATTTTCAGATGGGAGCACTTATGTAAAATGATAATTTCATATTGTACCTTAACATTAACATTTATTTTTAATTTTTTATCGAATTATAAAGAAACTTTTATATTTTAGTATAAAATTTGGTTCATTTCGGTAAAACATATTTTATTTTGGTTAATGTACTTTTAAAGTATATTCTCACCAAAATTTAAGATATTTTAAATTAAAATTATATTTTTTTTATTCAATTAAATGAATTTAAAATTAATATTTTTATATAACAATAAATTGTGTATAATGTTTTTTTTTGTAGAAAATTACAGTATTTGCAATACGCAAGTTAACTGAATAATGCGATTCACCCAAAATATGTTATCATGAGAGTTTAACAATAAAGCGCTAACTTAAGTCATTTTAAATTTAAGGGGAATTTCTTTGTTTATAATTATTTTGATTAAACTAAATTGTTACAATAAAAAAGGTTTTGAAATATTTGTTATATTATGATTACAAATTAATATAACAGTGTTTGTATATACTTCACATACTTCCTTAAGATACGAGTATTATACTTGTATATACTTCCTACTT